GCTTTGCTTTTCAATTGACAGCTTACTAATTGATAGTTGTTAAATATACTTAGAGTAATGTGAATGCAGCCACACTGGGTCAATATTCATGGATGCGCTCTACTTTAATTTAGAGGTAGACACTTGTCAGGCCATTGGTCAAGCAAGGCTCTACATTTTGAGCAGCCATACAAGCAAAATTGCATCAGCCCAAAAGGAAGGAAGGAAGGAAAAGAGCTAGTGATGGTCATTCCAAAATGCTGCTTAAGCATCAAGCTGTCACTGGTGAAAGCATGGACTATATTTTCAAGAGCAGCAAGGTTTTTTACTTCTATTTTAATTTATTCTTATTTTTACTGCTCTTCCAAGCAGTTTGCACACTGCTTCCCGCATCCCACAATACGATTGGTTTCCCAGATTTGGATGACACACCAGCCAGTTGTTGGTTTAAGAACCCCTACAACCAGCCATGGGTTGTTAGGGTGGCTCATTGCCCCAAACGGTTAACCCTATGGTATGTAGTCTGAGTTCAGACCACATGGCAGCCTACCATGGTTGGCCACAGTGGGCTGCCACGTCATGCAAACCTAGTCAAAACAGCTTTAAAAATGAAGGCTTTAGAGTCCTGTGTTGTGGTTTCTTGGGTTTCCAGGCAGCCTTGCTAAGAATCTACTGAAAAATAAACTTGAAAATGAGGCAATACAGGAACTTAAGTTATGGCAAAGATACTCTGTCATTGGACCACCAAATGTGATCCGCGTGCATTTCTAAATTTTAAACTGAAACAGTCAACACATTTCCCATTTTTTCTAAAGCAGCTGGGGGCTAAACTTGATTTTAATAAGAACACAAAAAACTGCCGAGTAGACATGTGACTAGGCTTTGATTAGGGAAGACCTATTCAGTGCTGCAAGGTTGTAATTAAAGCCAGAAGTGTTCTTACAGTCTTTACTGTAACCTTTGTTCTTCCCCAACTGGGTGCCTTCCAGGTCAACTCCTAACAGCCCCAAGCAGAGCATGGTAAAGTAGTACTGGAAATATGGCCCAAACATCTGGAGGGTAACATGCTGGGGAAGGTTGCAGCAAAATATAGATACACAGAATAAAATCCAGCTTACAGTGTGAAAGACAACCATGAATTTCAATAGGTTCAGATTGAGGTCTTTATCACAAAAATGGTTGTACTGACATGCTGTGCATGACATTGCACATATATACTTATTTGTATCCTATGCATTATATGAACTTTAGATTGCTCAGCAACAGGCTGAAATGGCAAGTGGGTATTTAGGAGTATAATATACTAAAAACATACAAACAAAGAATCGGGTCTTCAAAAATTCATTCATGCATGCATAGGTGCTGTGCAAATGTTAAAATAACATGATAGGCTGTGCCCAAAGGCTTAGTATCTCATTACTTCCTACTTTCTTGCAACTTCATGCCTAATGTCTTAAAGTACAGTAGCCTGGCATCCTCACCTCAGGGAGCTGTTCAGGTGCAATTTCTTGGAGAATGGGATGCTGTTTCAGCAGCATCATTTACAAGGCAAGAACAGAGATGAAATGCAAGTAGAAGCTGCAGTGTCTCATTTTGGGCAGGGAGTAGGTGTTACGGCATCCTGTGTCTGCCATGATGTCTAGTTCCTCTCTTTTTTGCAATTCTGTTTAAGAGCTTGCTGACCCATGAATATAATATAATACATGTTTGTATAGGCCTAAGTGCTCCTTAGTGAACAAGTTGGTGTAAGGCTATATTGTCCAGGTGTGGTAGAGAAGAAAAATTCCCATTCGTGTCCAACTTGGCTGTATTTATCCTGGTAACTAGCTTTTGAATTTGCATAATACATTAAGTGTTGAAGGTGGTGGCAGATAGTGAAGTAGTGCCAGTTCACTCTCTTGTGATAGCACATGATCCTCATAGTATGTCTCTGACTCTACACTGCTGGCTTTGACGCATCGTTGCCATAACAGTTACGGAGGCATCTTTGCGAGGAGTACATTTCTACGTTTGTTGTCACTGGAATAACAATCTGGAGATGAAAACAGAGATTTATCTGAATAATTCTGTTTTCTCCTTTAGTTGCACAGTGGTCATGGGGCATTCAAATTGTAACCAACTCTCTTAGAGATCAAAAGCACCGAAGCTCTTTCATTCTGAAACTGCAGCTAGCATCTGTAGGCGTTTCCAATACAGATTGTTGTTTTACCAAGGGCCAATGATGTACAACTCTCTTCTTGTTTCAGGATTGAAAGTGACGTTATGCACTCGGACTACTGTGAATTTCCATAAGTTCTTGGGGGATTGCTTTATCTTTTGATTCCAAAAGTTATAAAACGCAATAGCGCAATGGCACTTGTGGACAAACACAAAGTCAAACGGCAGCGATTGGACAGAATTTGTGAAGGTAAGTCTTGATGCATCTAATGAAATATTCCTAAGACCTTTAGAAAATACACCAGTCTTTCATTCGTGCTTTGTTTTATGGAAAGCAAGTTCAGCACTAATGGCCTCATTGAAATACAACATGAAACAGAAAGCTGTACCTTGCTTATATCTTGGTATTTCCTAGTTGCATATCATTAACAGAATTTGAATATCTTTTTTCAGGTTGGTTAGCAAGCAATAGGATAGAAAACCATTACAATTACCTTCTTATTCTTGAATTATTCTATTTGCACACCTAACATGAAAAATACTGATTCAGACTTTGTAAAATTCCCATTGCTTTATTTATCTTCTGCTTTTTAGGACCAGTTCAGATATGCACTGCTTTTTCACCCATAACAGTTATCATTATTTTGTTTTTAACATGTATACTCTGCTTTTCTGTGATAAAACTTACATGATACAAAATACAAAACAACCAAATTTTAGTAATCAAATATAATGAACAGCAATAAAGAAAGAAAATTGGATTGGATCATACTTAGAATTAGATCCATTGAAATGACCCACCATCATTGCTACAATTACATTATTGATGTACCTTCCTCTAGCACTGTGCCAATAGGTAAGCTGGCACAACAGGTTTTTCAGGAATCCCATTGTACCAGCTTATACTATTGGTTTTCCATGAGAGGTTGCATACATTAGTAGTGCATCAACAGCATAAGCAGCGTGGCAGTGTTAAATCCCTACTGGGTTGAAGTTAATTATGTCTAACCTAAGGCATACTGATGTCAATGGGTCTTCCCTAAGTATGACTTAAGGGTGGAGGGCTATGTATGCATGAATAAGCATGGAGCAGTGGGATCTTCCAGACAGTAGCTTCTACAAATGTGAAACTGAATGTTGCAAAGAAATTCAATTACTGCTCATCAAAATATTTAATGTTTTTGCTCTCTGTTTTCTTACCTCTGGCAGCAGCAGCCAGTTGGAACAAGTACATGCTAATTGTAATGACATCAATACTCAGGACAACATGTATGCCTGTGTACATGTATAGAGGTTAATCCACTGATTTTGCAGTTTTTAGTGGCAGCTCTACATTGCTTCTTTTCATGGATAGTCTTCTGTCACTCCTTTCAATAAGAGTGCGACAAAGGCTTCTGTCTGCAAGTCTTTATCATTTTAAAGCTGACCAGCTAGGGTAATAGAAAAGAAAATAGAAGAAAAATTTCCTATTTCTTTGTCATAGAAAAAAGAGTACTGCAGAAATGAATGGCAAAAAAACAAACAAGCAAAGTTAGAACACTGCCATTACAAAATGCGCCTTAATAATACTAAGTTAATTCTGAACCAAACACCTCTCCTTTCTTCCAAACTGAAAAGAGCTAATCCCACCTTCCTTGGACTGCCTGATGCTCCTCAGTCCATCCTTTTAACTTAATGCTGTATGACTGGAGTGATGTTCTCTGGTTCTCTCCCTCCCGTATCAGCTAACTCATTATACTTTCCCTCAGAATTTGATGGTCTGATTCTCAGCCTGACTTATCTCAAGGCCATTTGTCTTGGCAGTTCAGCTATAGATTTTATCCTCTTCTCTTCTGAATTGGAATCCAATTCAACAAACTTTGAAAGTTATATTAGAGGAAGAAGATTTGTAATGTGTAGTTTTTCCCAGAAATGTCTGTGTAAACCACAAAAGTAGATGTAACTGAAACAATTGGTTCACATAAATAATTTCCATCACAGGAGAGAATGAACCTTCTGTAACATGTGTAACAGTGTTATGCCTTTATATTTTACTGTTACTATGTATTACCATTTATTTTGGCAGCTGATACATCTAACTTCTGTTCATTTGTCTTAAATAATCTGGAAAGCTCATAGCTCTGAGTAGAAATGCAAGGGATGGGACTGCACCTTAATACCTTGAAGACTACATGTTCGGCCTTTCTGGAGGCTGGCTTGGCAAAGTCTTAAGATGTTTCTCCAGGAATAGGGTTTGTGAGGGGGTTCTGACATAAGAATTGGAGTTGAACCATTCTGTTGGTAGTAAATGCAGCTTCTAAACTGAAAGGGCAGTGGAAACTTATAGCCATGTGACTTGTGTTTATATGATGGTGCAGCCTTTCCCAAAACAGTGCTTTCCAGATATAATGGACTGTAGCTCCCATCAGCCACAGCAAGACATCATATGATGTGGGTTGATGGCAGTTCTGGTCCAAAACATCTGGAGGATGTCAGGTTGGGGAAGCCTGGTATAGTATCTTTCAGAGATATTATTGCTCTGAAAATTTGCTTATTTTTTACTAGAAAGCTTCAACCATGTGTTCTGCAGCCATGATCAACTTCCAAGATGCAGGCTAGAAAAACACAGCATAACTTTCAATAATGTAAGATGTTGTGCCTCAGGCTGTGTGAAAATGATTAAAACAAAGTCAATAGTAGTACATAGTTTGGTATGGTTTGTCATTTCATCAGGTATTTAGTATTGGTTATGTGAAGCTGGTACTCTAGGAAGTTAAGGCAAGGATTCTGTGTTGTTATTTCTTTCTAAGAAGTTTGTACAACATGTGGGGATGTTAAACAATTTTGAGATATTCTGTATGTATTGTTTTGAGAGTAACTAAATTGTGAAAGTGATTGCAACTAGCTGGTCAGGCCTTTTATAGGACAGAAATACATATGTACATAGATGAATTGGGTATTCATTAGGGAGATGTTTCCCTTAGTGTATTTCTTAGTATAATTGAAATAGTGATATATTAGGTTGGATTTGGAGGAATTAGTTCATTGTTAAGCACAATTCAGAATGTACTGGTCGTCTTCCATTGTACTAATTTGATTCAGCTTTTGCAAGATCTTGTATGAAAGAAAGCTACAGATAGTTGATCCACAGTTGATTCATCTTTGCTGCTAGTCTAGACAGTGTATGTTACTTCTGTTTACTTACTATGTCAGACTTTCAGATGAGTTCACTGATACTTCTCTCTGATGAGAGCTGGTGGTTATTCTATAAAACTTTTACAAGAAGAAGCAAAAATAGAGCAAAGAAGAATTCAATCTGCAGTAGCTTAAATTGTGTCATGTAAATGATTAGCTACCTTTAAAAGCAGGATCCATCCAGCAGCATGGCTTTGGCTTTGATTGATTCTAGGCAAAATGAGCCTACGCATGAATGGTAAAATTTGATCTTCCAAGGCTGAAGTAGCAATCCTGTTATGTTTGCTTTAAGGAGTACACAGGGCTAACTATAATTTCCAAACTGTACTGTGGCGCAAGCTTTCATAGACAAGTGTCTTTTTGTTAGATATCTAACATACGTATTAGATAATTATTAGATACAAAGATGATGTAATAATGCATTCTTTAGTACTTAAGGTAGCACAGGATTTTTGTTGGTCATTGAGGCAGACTGAGACAGGTGCTCTTCAAGGATAACTGGATTTGCATCCATACATCCACAGTTAGTGTAAGTGTTTGCTTAGAGAATCATTCAGTGGTATTCATAGCCTTTTCCCCTAGCACACTAATACACCTTCATCCAGTGCTTCTAAATTTGCCATGAACTTACCTAGACATCAGCTAAGAGTGGAATGATGGTCACGATCATTTTATGCACCTAGACCCACTGGGAAAGGTGCTATTGGTACAGATGTCCCCTGGGAAGCAGTATTCCTTATCAGACAGGAGCAGATTTCAAACTCTGAGCTGGAAGTGTGGGGTTGGTGAGGAAATGGCAGTCTGTTTCATCATGTAGTACAGAAAAAATGTAAAAGCCATTCCACCTGTCAGTTTAATTAACCCAATCAAAATTGGGTTAATCTTCTCCAGAGCAGAGTGAAAGTATGCTTCCTTTGTAATCCTGAAAAAATGCTGACAACTGCCAGAATGGTATGGCTGCAGAGAGACTGAGAGCACGCCCTGTATTCTACCCATCAGAATGCCATAAACACACAGGTGTAGTACTCTTATCTCATCTCTAAAGCAGACTTTGAACCTGACTTAAAAGGGTTCTATCAAGCAGCTTTAGATTTTTCAAAAGGCACCCTTCCAGTTTGATGTTAGCTATCAGATGTGGTTGCTAAGTGTACAAGAAACTTAGGAGGATCAGAGGACAAGCCTGCTAAGAGAGCATTAGATACAATTGAAGTTTAGATTATTTTCCTCTGAACAATGTATTTTAAATTCTTTCTCTTCCATCTGTGTTTTCCTGGCCAAAATATTTTTTCCTAATCTGTAAAGGTACAGTTTACATAAAACCAGAAATCCGTTTGTCATTTGCCAAGTACATTTGCAATTTTAATTATGCTGAAGGGATTTGTTGCTGTCACACACTACACAACATGTTTTTGCAAGTACTATTAAAACATTTATGGGAATAACAGATTATGACTAAATGCAATTAAGAGATACTTTAAAAATAATACTGAAAAACAATTTTGCCTGCTGAAGGTTCATGAAACTTCAATTCATTTCAACCTTTTTTGGAATCTATTTTTGTTGGATAATGAAAAATCCATAATTGTAGAAAGATACGACATTTTACCTAGAGTAATACCTGGATATCTTAAAATGTTATGTACAGTAATAATGGCTAGGGTGATAATAAGGCTCTTTTTAACTTTATCGTAACTAGTTGACTGGATTGCAAATGGATTCTTGTTGTTCACTCTTGTTGTAATATGCTGCATATAGTGTTCCATATTTGATGTATATACTTAAAACAGAATAATACTTATGCCAGACAAAAACAGTTGACAGCTTTCTACAAAATGCAAGGTTAGTGTCTGTACTGGTATAAAAATGCTAGCCAGAAAACATTCAAAACCTGAGACCATGTCTGCTCAGGAAATGGAAACATCCCTGAATCCTGGTTCAGTGTATTTATTGATGCTAAATCAAAAATATAATGAGCAACACCTGAAAAAGCATATAGTACAGCTTTATAGTTGAATGGCCCTAATCCTGTTCCCTGTATTTGACATAGGAGAAGGTAGATGTGTTGGGGTATGCAGG